CTTTCTTTTCCCTTCTTCGTCTCTCCCTTCTCCTTCCTCGACTATCTTCTTCTACCTTCGTGTCCGAGCTCCGCCGCTATGGCCTTCTTCTTCTTCCTTGGACTGCACAACAATCTTTTATCGCTCCTCTCTCTCTCTCTCTCTCTCTCTCTCTCTCTCTCTCTCTCTCTCTCTCTCTCTCTCTCTCTCTCTCTCTCTCTCTGTTTCTTCGTCGTTGTCTTCTTTGCAGGTACGCAGCACCTCCCTTCGACGGTGCAGCTATAGCGAACCTTCCTCCTTCGACGGCGCAGTTACAGTTGTGGCGCCCAGACAACAATGGCACGCGGAGTAACGGGAACCAGCTCCGATACCAATGCAATCAGACTCGCCCTCTTCTCTGCTTCACACACATGCAAACAGATGGCGATTCACACTGGCGCCAAGCGCCCACTCAAAGCTCAGAGATATGGAAACCATGAACACAGTTCAGATGCAAACTCGCTTCAATAGGCTATGGCGCATCAGCGCCTGTACATCGCAACTCTCGTCACTGTGTCCAACACCTCTGTTCGCACACACTCGACTCTGGATCACCCTGAATACCCCACGCACACGTACTTTGTATCACAGACACACACACACACACTAACAGCTATCTCTAACCTATGGCGGCTATGGCCGTTTGCTACTACTACTATGGCTACGCTATCTTCTTTCAGCCCACTTCGACTTCAGGAGCTCTGCAGACCACCTTGCACAAGAGGCTGGGGCAGCACTTCCGCATGGCTTACGCAGCGAATAAATGAATGGCTGGGTGCTGCCTCTTGATTTATACTTTTGTAATTCGTTGGTCTGCCCCTTTTCCATAGGGCCCATGGTGCACACAGTCCCTCATGGTACTTGCTGACTGTGCAAAGTGAGACTGGGACTGGGTACCGCTGACTAAGCAAAGTTGGACTCCACCACTTGCCCACTTGCCTCTGGTCTGCTATGTAAAACGTGAGAAGAACTTGATAGGCCACTTCCGGACCTTCTTGAAATTTGCGGACTTGGCCTTTCAAGACTGTAAGACTGTGGCAGCTACGACCTTGACCTTTCAGGACTGTAGCAGCTACGACCTTGACCTTTCAAAACAACAACTACGACCCACAGGTTACAGGTTCAAGACTCACAGGGTCGACTCGATACTCTACACAGGTAAGGTAAGGTAAGGGAGGTATGTGGATCGAACTCTGGGATCCACATCTGTGTCTGCAAAAAGGTCAAAACCGTTATTGTAGGCGAGCATTCCTGATGGTGGTCTCGCCCTCAGCACCACCGTACGGCACTCCGACCTAGGTAAAAGGAGGCCCCACCTGGTGCTGAGTCCCGACCCAAGTAAAAGAAGGCCCCTCCTAGTGATGAGTCCCGGCCTAAGTAAAAGGAGGCCCCACTTGGTGATGAGTCCCGACCCAAGTAAAAGGAGGCCCCACCTGGTGACGAGTCCCGACCCAAGTAAAAGGAGGCTCTGCCTGGTGCTGAGTCCATGCTTAGAAAGCCTGAAGTAATGAAAATTCACCAGGCTCCTGCTCGCTTAGCACGAACATGGTGCCCATCGGCCTTGGCCCTCATATTGCCCAGGGGTGAGAGAGAGATTCGTTATTCTTGCAGACCAAACTGTTGCAAGATGGACTCACTCTAGGCGCTCGTGCAAACTGAAGTAAAAGACCAACGAGTTCTGGAAATTTTATCTAGCCAAATGTGCAAGGGAAATGAGCAATAGCGAATTCCAGAAACCAAGCAGCATCATACACATGAAACCAGATAGTCGTGACCTCTAACCAAAAGCAGAATTGCATTACGAGTTCCACCAAATAAGAGCACAGCAAAAGCTCACAAGTGAAATAGTCTCATCATCATCATCAATGAACCAATGTTGATTCCCTATCTGGCGCTTAGTGCCCAGACTACAAATGGCAGATCCTATCTAGCCTATTTACAATGCCGCTGGTGACGTCAACAGCTCCCCGAAGTACGAGCAGATCTCGGCCAATGCCGTTCGCCTCAAGCACCAGGTATGTCTCTCGCATCACTCACAACCTTGATCCCCCACACAGATGCCCTGTGCACCCAAGGACCACCATGCGCCCCATCCAACACCTCGGGCCAGCTCGGCTATGGCTGCCTGCGTATATCCTGCTCGCCCGTGAGCGCGTGGGCGTTTGCCTGCCAGTAGCACAGCAGCGCTTGCGCAGCACAGCTACAGCAGGCTTCAGATAAGATAGAGGCAGAAAAAGAAAGAATCATCAGGTGAAGATCTAAGATGCAGCAACGTCAAGCGGACATTAGAGAGTTAGAGGAGATGGACCTTACCAATGTGGATGATTATGTGAGGACCGGGAGGACAGTCCTGTTAGATGTAGTAGAGATGCAGGACTACCACACGTCGCTCTTGCAAGACATCCAGCGGAGCCTGGCCGCGCAGGTCGGGCGAGTTCAGGAAGCACCATCACCATCAGGGCCCGATGTCTGGCCCATGGTACACCCTCCTCCTTCTGTCACACCTGTGACTGGAGTATCCCCATTCACAGTATCTCCAGCTTCGGTGCGGGCTGCGAGACGGCAGGCTGCCCAGTTACGGCAGTCTGCAACAGAGGTTGGGAGAAAAACACTGTCTGAACAGGAACCTGTACACTAGGACCTGCTGTTAACCCGCCTGTCAAAGACATACCAAGTAGGGAAGCGGTCTGCACCAAAGCTGGAGATACTGTGAATGGGGATACTCCAGTCACTGGTGGGACAAAATGAGGAGGCTGTACCATGGGCCACGCACCGGGCCCTGATGGTGATGCTACCTGAATTCATCCAACCAGCACCGCCAGGCTCCGCTGAATGTCTCGCAAGAGCGATGTGTGGTAGTCCTGCATCTCTACTACATCTAACAGGACTGTCCTCACGATCCTCACATCATCATCCACATTGGTCAGGTCCATCTCCTCTACCTCTCTAATGTCGGCTTAATGCCGCTGTATCCTAGATCTTCTCCTGATCATTCTCTCTTTTTCTGCCTGTATCTCATCTAAAGCCTGTTGTAGCTGTGCTTCGTGAGCGCTTGCTCGCTGAATGGCGATCTCCTCGGGAGTTAACACTAACGGCTGGCTGGCCATAACGCCAGCGGACTGACTCAGGGTATGTGCAACCGTCGCCCCGATCGTCCTTGAACTACTGTCCGATCGTCCCTGAACTACTGGCCTGGGAACTTTGCTGCGCAGCAGTGGACATGGCTGCTGAAGTAGCTGCCTCGCTTGCGAAGGCTCTGCTTGCCTCTGCGTCACTAGCCCTCCGCTGCTGCTGCGCTCTCCCCCTAAGCTAGCGGAACAGAAAACAGTCCCCCTCTGGTCCTAAGGCTACGTGGACCAACGGGCGCCTTGCCGATCGCAAGTACCGTCCAGGTCAGGAACCTCCATGTCGCTCATAAGCTACTGCACCGTACACTGTCTGCACTAGGTTTCACTCGGTTGCCTACCACAAAGTAGTGCTCAGACCGACTTATTAATCGGTGGCTATGTCAGAGTACACACAGTTGGGTCCAACAGGTAAGTCCAGATTCATATAAACGGTTACCTGACTAGTCCGCATACAGAAAGCAAATGAGTAGAAACAGTAATTCCTACCTATGCTATTTGTCAGATGTCAATGGCTGTACATCTAACTAATCAAAATAAAAATAGAATCATTTACATGAGTGTCGGCAGAGTGGAACTGTTCCCGAACTTGTCACCTGAAATCTACCCCTTCGTCAGTTCTTCCTGATTGTCACTTGACAGCGTCCCTGAGCAATCCAGGTAGTGTGCGTGCCTAAAGGTGTGCACACAGCCCACCCCTATGCCGCGAGTCTATGCTGAACCGGCCAGCCTTGCACCATGTTTACCGTCGCGTGCAGCGAGCATTACACCGACCAATTGGCTGATCAAGAGGCGTTTAAGGACGGCCCCCGAAGTCCTCAGGAATTATTTAACGTCGCAAACAGGAAGGTAACCTTGGCGGTACTTATTTATAGACGTCCGGTACTCATCTCCCCTGTAGGGCTGGCCTTATCATCATAACCCATCTACAGCGCAGCAGGCAGACAAAGGACAAAGCAGCAGAGCATGCGTGCTCTACTCCCAGTGGGTTGGCATGGTGACCGTGACCCAGTGCTTCGTCCACGGCCCTTCAGATAGCTCCGCCCTCTCCTTCCAGATGCTCCACGTGAACAATGCTGACTCTCAAGGTTGAGCGCACTCGACTCCTCACATGAGAGGACTCTCAAGACAGAACACACATCCTCACGGTGATAAGTTTAAAAGTAACGTACCTCAAAATAGCTGCCCCTAACCACAAATATTCTCACCAGATGACCTGACGCCGATTGTGATGACCAGTCATTGCTTCGGCACAACCAGCATTACACCGCCGTTCCACCTCAGCATCAATCGCACATCAGATAGGTTCTCATCACACTGCGAAACACCCAATCTCCACCTCGTAGCCTTCCTGGCGAGTACCCCTCTCCACCTGGGTCACCTGCTTGCATTCGCCCTCCTCACTACACACTCCTTACGGCCGCTCACCCAGCAGACCTCATGCATGTACCGCATAGGCAGAAGGCAAGCGCCAGATTAGCTCAACGTACCACAACTCTGATACCAAAATGCAAGGAAAATGAGCGATAGCGAATTCCAGAAAATAAGCAGCATCATACACATGAAACCAGATAGTCGTGACCTCGAACCAAAAGCAGAATTGCAACACGAGTTCCACCAAATAAGAGCACAGCAAAAGCTCATAAGTGACAATGTTGAAGTAGTCTCATCATCATCATCAATGAACCAATTTAAACGGACCTAAAACAGCCAAACGAAGGAAAAGAAAAATACGCAAGGAACTACCACTCCTTAGATTCTCAGTATGCGGTTGTAATCATACGGGACAGAACAACATGTCATTGGCAATGCCAATCACATGCAGAGGAAAACTCCAAACGTCTGATTGGTACTCACCACTCAAAAGACGCCAATTGCCTGGAGCACTCATCGTACCAGCCAACGCCATAACAGCACCCCGATGACCATACAAGGTTGCTACCAAGCAGCCCGTGTTGAGACTCCAAACCTGTGAGGATCAAAGGCACCGCAGGCACCGCAGTAACCACACAAGGAAAGCAGAACCAGGGAAGCCGAGTGAGATCGCAGATATGAGAGTGACAAGGGCAAGGCAGTTAAACCACAGCACTGGATTAGCATTACACCATTTCACATAGGGTCAAATCCCAATCTGCCCTAATCTTCACTCTCTACTGACAAGACACTCCTTGAAACTTCCAAACCAAGATATCTGCCACAACAGAAAGATCCTGTAATGCTGCATCAAACACCGCGTCAATGTGGTCGCTAATACTTGTTATTATAACTCAAAAAAGAAGACTGCACCTGTACACCACTGGTTACACATCAAAAGAAAAGGAAATGATCCCCACATCTCAGATCTCTGCTTAGCATTACACCATTTCACATAGGGTCAAATTCCAATCTGCCCTAATCTTCACTCTCTACCGACAAGACACTCCTTGAAGAAACTTCCAAACCAAGATATCCGCCACAACAGAAAGATCCTGTAATGCTGCATCAAACACCGCGTCAATGTGGTCGTTAATACTCGTTATTATAACTCAAAAAAGAAGACTGCACCTGTACACCACTGGTTACACATCAAAAGAAAACGAAATGATCCCCACATCTCAGATCTCTGGTTAGCAAGCTCAGACCAAGAACAGGAAGACTTGATACACTGCCTAATCAGATGCAAGGAGGCAACAGAACATCCACCAAGCGCAACAGACATATGGGACCATCCATTTGACTCCTCCCTCCCTGAACAACCCATCCAACTTCTTCTATGGACTAATGTCCCCACTCACTTTGGCAAACCGGAAAGGATTTGGTTCGGAATGATACGCAGGGTGACTCTATGGATCATACGGAAGGAAAGATGCAGCAGAACACTGGATGGGACTGTAAATCCACGCGACAGAGTCCGGGCAGCTACCAGGGAGGCAGAAATACTTTGCCAGTGGAGGAAGATGAAAATCGTCATACAGAGCAACTCGAAGCAATTATAATGGGACAAGTTTAAGAGAATCTGACTTGCAGGGGGCAAACGGCAGGGTTTAGAGGACTCGAGATGGAAGGACTGCCATAATTTAGACGCCACATCTGCCCTCAGGACAGCGCAAACAGCAGGAACCACACGATCCCAGCCAGGCAGTCTGATCAGGAGTGGGAGGGCGAGATCCAAGGGACCTGAGAAGTTCCGGTCTATGATCCTTCAAGCACCTACCAGTAGCAGACGAGCATAGCTACCTTATCTCCTACATAGATACAAGTTACTCGGACCACCAGGCTGCAGGGCACAGAGAAGCCCGCATGGAGGGATATCCTTGCAGACCCAAACGGACCCAGCAGTTCACGTTCGAGAACTGAGAGGGTTAATAGTACTTAATACAGGCTAACTTTTGAAGATTGTTTTATTCAAGGGGGTAGAGGAACTAGGGGACGGGTTTTGTATCGGCATGGGCTCACATGACGGCCAATCCTTCCAGCGGAAGCAATCAATGCTGTCAGGGTTCCCCGGGCTGAGCGTACGAGTGGGTATTTCATCTACTCGTCCGACTTGCCGATGGAATAGAAACCGAACGGACACTCCCCAGAATGGATAAGGAGCCAGGCCCATAAGGACCTGTTTCTTTAAACCACCACTACCTTACAAAGTGGAAGGCCAAGTACTAAGTAGTGAACCGCATTCTTCGGAAGCCAAGCACCAGCGGACCAAAATGGCTGGTGACGCCAGCCAAAGCGAAAGAAAAGAGTCGCACCCTGGCGCTATGGCAAAGCTTGGCACGCAGTTCTTTTCCACCTCGCCAAAAAGAGGCTCGGAGGTAATGGTACAAAAAAAAGAAACTTATTGTGCACGTAAAGCATTAGTACGCAACAAAAATCCACAGCCACAGACATCAGTGACCAACCTGCAAGTCTTCCACCAGATAACACATCAGGCTTCTTGTCCAGGCTAACTATGGTCGTGACTCGCTCCCTAACCAACCTGCTGGCCCAAACCAGGCTGGTGGGGCTCTATTTGGCCTGTCTAGAGGCTCACTCTTAGCTAACGAAAGCCTCCATAAGCCTCCATAAGCCATTTTCACCTACAGCCAAGTGCAGGCCAAACAGCTGCTCCAAACCATAACAGCTGGGATGAAACCTAGGTCTGACGCATAACTGTGGCATTCTGGCCAAGTGAGTTCCTGGGGTTCAACAAGGATTTCACCGAGGACCAAAATCGCCACCGCAAATCCCAGTGAGGTTTCAACACTCTGAAGACCTAACTTGGTGAATGAAGAAAGTCACAAAAGACACTCGTACTCGACTAAAAGAATTTATGTTGCTCATCTTGGGACATGGCACTATATTTTCGCGAGTTTTCCCAGCACTTCAACCCCTCAGTTTCTATCCCAGTTGGGCAACAATACTCCGCCACGGGAGTGTCGTTACCCAGCTAGAGTGCATATGTATATCACATAAGCTGAAGTCCATGCGGGCTGAAATGCACACCTGTATTGCACACCAAGCAAAATGTGCACCTACATCCATTACACACCCATATCCATAGACTAAAGTGCACCTTAATGCACACCTACATCCAAAGACTACACCTTGATACATACCTACATACATAGACAAAAGTGCACCTTAATGCATACCTGCATCCACAGAGACTAGATTGCACATTACTGCATAGCTGCATCCATAGACTAAAGTGCACCACATCACATAGACTAGAGTGCACACATACACTCACTCTTTGATGAAATTTGAAGGCAGACCCTGCACCTTCAGGAATGGGTACAGAGCTTGGCAATACCACTATTCCTTCCTACCCAGTGTCTTTTTTTAATATATCAAAGGACATGGTGTCATGTCACCATTCCTGGATCTGAAAGTTCCCCCTTTTGGCCACGCAGCACTAGGCCTCAATGGGTAACCGGATTTTCGAAATCAAAGAAAGGGTGCGGTCTCACATGTACCTGACTGATGTTAATAAAACGAACTTTAAAAGTTTGCCAAAACAACTCTACGGTAGAGCCCAGTTATCGGAGAAAATAAGGCCAGGGTGTCATGCCAATATTTTCCACCAGGGAAATTTTCCCCACTGGGGCCCAGTTGTGCCAAAAAGATTTTAGTATCATCAAAGATATGACACAGTCTAGCATGAGCCTACGTGCTGCAGAACGATACATACCTGGATTCTGGAAGTGATAATAAATACATAGATCACAGGTTTACATCCTGTTGAATACAATATCCGGAGGGTTGCCCAAATTGCCCCCATTTTCTTTTTCAAAAAAACAAAAAAAACAAAAAGAAAAGGATAGGGTCCGTGTTGGAGCTGGGCTCAGCACCACCAAGCTTCTTCCCAAGGGAACCCAGTTTGCGGTTGTATCAGCCTTCGGGCATCCTGGGCACAATGAGTCAAACTCACAGAGGAGAGGTGGAACTGCCCTCTCTCTCTCTCCCCCCCCCCCCCCTCCCTCTCTCTCTTCCCCCCCTCCCCCTCCTCTCTTCCCCCCTTACACTTTGTTCCCAATGGCCCATCATTGACTCTGTTTATCTTTCCCCCAACCACACACACAGCCGAAACAGCTTGACTAATAATTCAAACTCCCCCTGGCAGTTCAAGCAGTGCGCTTTGGACAAAAGTTACAGAACTCCATTGGCCCATATAGAGCAAATTGGAAGATACAACCCTTTCACAGTTCCTCTGAGGGTATAATTCCACAATGCAGTCCCACAAAGGGCCCTCCAGATATGGGCATTATTGTGAAGCAGTGTCAACATTCAAACCTGTAGACGTATTAAGAACCCATATATTTCCACATACTCCCTATGCTGCCTCGGAGACTGCCCGAGCTGACCCGCTCTGACAGGCTAGGACCAGGCGCTATCTGTGCTAAAGCTGTGGGAATGTCAACGTCCTACTGTCAAGCCCCTGAGTGAGACTACGTTGCTGTGGAAAACTCCAGCCTAAATGCTGCCACCTGCCTGGTGTTGAAAGATTTCTACGTTTGTCAGACATGCATATGATTGAAAAGTACTGCCACCAAATCTTCACATTATTCAACAAGTGAATATATGCTCTTAGATCAAAACCTTATCAGCCCTTGTGGACAGATCCTTATACTTAGAGCCAGCAACCATAAGCCCTGACAGGTTCTAGAATATAATGTCAACAATGGTCCCCCTCTTGGAAGGATGGATTAGCGTTTGGAGTGGATAGATCCTGCTCGTATATGCCAGGAGACCACACTTCTTCACGCTGAGCCATAGGACTAAACATCACGCTGCACAGACATGTCTTGTGGATGCGTCCTGGCGTTACTTTTCTAGGAAAACTGGCACCACTGAATCAAGAGATTTAAAACTACGGCGCATTGGAACCGAGTCTTGACTGAGTTTATTTTCACTCCCAAATCACCTCTGCTCTTACTCTTGCCAAGAAACAAGGTTGCAGGTATGTGCATCCCCCCGCAAGCACATATACCCAGACCCTGAGAGGTGCTCCATACAGGCCACTGAGAATCCTCAAATGAGTTAATGCAGTGAAGGCCCTGAGAACTGTGGGATGGACAGTGGGAAACTTGGCTCTGACAGAACTACAGAAAGAACATAAGCACACGATGGCAGAGGGGGGGAAGGCAGGAGGGTACCATCTCATAGTCGGACCAGATTGCAGGGCCTCACGTTCCCTATTCCTCAACTCTCTCTCTCTCTCTCTCTCTCTCTCTCTCTCTCTCTCTCTCTCTCTCCGTGCAAACAAGCTCTATCCACTCCTTCCTGCTTTTGTTTCGTTGC